AGCCTTCTGGGGCTGCTCCCACAGTGAGCAAATGAAATAACAGCCGTTAAGGGCCTAATGGATTTCTGGAAGGAATGGAAGGCTGGTCAGCTACAAACACTCTGTACTAAGTGAACGAGCAAAACAGATTCTATAGGAATTTAGTGTTATATAGAAAGCAGATAGATCACTTTAGCAAAAGCGCCGCTGAACGCTTAGCTAGCTACCTTTGAATATCGCTGGAAATCAGATCGATAAACTGTTCTCCGATCGATGAATATATGATATGCTTAGGTGCTTTACAGACAGACATAAGCAGAGCTTCCAACGTTCCAGATCCTGTGCCAGAGTCTCAGTTTTGACAGAAGACAACTGGAGTCTGGAACAGACCCCTTCCACATATTTGTACCAGGTTAATCTTGGCCGTCCCCTGGGTCTTCTGCAGGTCGGTTTCCCAAGAAACAGTTGCTTAGCCTTCCTCTCTGGACGCATTCGCAACAGCGACTTCTCAATCTGTAGAAGCAGAGGCTGTTCACCAACGCTCGAGATAAACACAGTCATTTCGAAACTTCTTGTCTGCCCGGAAAATGAGTGATCAAGGATTTTCGAGCCTACTCTTTAGACAAACGATCATATTAATAACTGATTGAGCACCCTCTTGTCGATTTCACCTCTGTTGTCTGGCCGTTTTCTTCTGCAAACGAAAGGCAAAGCATAACCAACCTGAAGCAACCCGCGAGTCATACGCAGATTCATGTACTGCGAGAGGGGATATACCAATCAGTAAATCAGTCAGTTTCAGTGATCGCCTATCCCATCTGGTGGTGGGGACAAATGCGACACTCTGTGCTCTGAACGTTCCTAATTCTGAAGCAGCGCTTCAACTACGGTAGAAGGACACCAGACTGAGGGGAGCAGAATCTATCGTGGCATTTGTACCAGGTCAGTGGAGTCTTTTGTCCTTCGATTAGCACGTGGTAGATGTTTCAAAGCAATCGAACGATATGCGCCCAAACCGTCGTAGCTGCCATTTCTCGATCTGGGGAAGCTGAGGCAATTACATCAAAGCTTTCTCACAGATCTGAAAGTAAACAAAATGATGAACCTCTCCTTCAGAGGAATGGTGACATCACCATACCCGTTATGACGACACCATTTCACTTAGTTTTATGAATGTTATTACTACCCTAACGATTTGAACGGTTTTACTTTTCGTTTTTTTTGCTTAGACATTAAAATTCTCTTAACCGCTAATTCCCTCAAAGAGTACATTAGTACGTGTTTTGGGACAGTAGGTAAGTATCGGGTAGTAAGTCGCTGATTTTTCTGTCGGCGCCACACCGGGATTGGCTAGAGCTGGGATTGTTTTGTCTGGTGCGAGCGGCTGTATGACAAATAACAGGAGATGCAAGACGAAGACGACTATGAATTTTATAGGAGAAGAGAGATTAATCGTGCTGCTATTAGGGGATTAATGCAGATGGTAGTTGGAATGGTCCTGTCTAAGTTTGAAATAAAACTGTTTTTACAGAAACCTGCTTCATGAGGCATGAAGACCAGTGCCGGTTCCGGTTGATTATGCTTCGCCAGCTGATTGCCGTAGGGTTCAAGAAAGACTTTCACAGCCACGAACGAAGCGCATATACCTGAGGGTCTCATTTTTCGTCATGCTTCTCTTTACGCGTTTTCTGAAGAGAAGGGTTTGAGGTTTTCAGGAGTAATATGGAGCCAGGGCCATTCATTAATTAATTACTGGAAATGAAAATGAAAATGCCGGGATAGAATAATGTCTTCATTGGACTTTGTTTTCTTTGCAAATTTCTCATGCCATGATATACCTTTGTACACGTTAATTATGAACCTTTACGAATCATAATCATAATCCAAGGCGTTTTGCTAGCAACTGTAACAGTGAAAAACTATATCTTGTGGAATGGTATATTTTATTTGTCAGATGTCAGATCTGAAGAGATGGACGGAGTTAAGGCCTTGAGCATTTTGTCCCAAATGGCCACTAACGACGAGTGCTCGTTGCCCATAATCACCGCCTTACTTAGCGAAGTAGAGGTGATCACGAAGATTGCGGCCAAGCGACAAAACGATAAAGTGTACCAGATTCTTCTTTCCTCGCTGCTGGCCCAAATCCTGATGGTAAGACTTAAAGTGGCATTCATTTCATGCGGCATTCACACACAAAACCTATTAAGTGTAGGCTTCTGGAAAAACAAGCGGCAGTTCAAAACGAGGAACGGGACACTTGGCAGACGTCGTCGTCAAGGTTGTCGAATTTGCGTCCAACATTCTTGGCCGCACACATAACTGCATGGAATTTGCTGCTCTCTACATTCTCAGCAAGGTCGGTTGGTGTCATTTGCAACATGAGGATGTCTGAACTTAGTTTTATATGTATATAAATATTTATTTATTTGTTTTGTTG